TCTATTTATTATTATTATTATTATTATCATTATTATTATTATTATTATTAGTAGCTTAAAATTCCTAGGGTTTTAAATTTGATTCCCATGGTTTATGTTCTTTAGTGTACAAAGAACAACCCCGAAGAGCCACCCTAAAAGTTTCTTATGTCTTATTTTAAAAATTCCTTTAATCTAAAAATAGTTTTAGTTGTGAATCCGGCCCCTACACAACCACTGTACAAAAAGGTAAATGATTTTTCAATACAAAGACTTGTTTTATAATAATTTTTATATAATGAAAAAAAATGAAAATGCTCACCATGAATGAATTTGAAATTGAGACGATACAAAAAAAACTTTAAAAAGCTTAAGACTTAGAATAAAATTCTTCTTTAAAAGAATTAAAGCTCAACTTTATACAAAAAATTTAGTTTAAATCAAGTTTGGAAGAAACGTATTTGTTAATTTTCCCAGAATAAATACTAAATATCTAAATATATTATTGAACAAAGTTTTTAATTTCATTTACTAATTGAATTAAAATTAAAAATGTTATATTTTCAGTAATATCCTTAAAGGATCATTGAAGGCGATTAAATTTATTGCCAATATTTTCAATTTGATTTTCAAATGTTATGGCTATTGTTAATGATATCATGATAATCATAAAAAGCAGTGTTGAACCAAAAGAGTTTCAACTCACACATGTTCACAATAAATCCGCTAAAATTGAAAATGATTTTATTTGATTATTTCAGTTTTCAAGTTTTAAAACTTTTACTATTTGTGTAGAAAGTACACTTAACATATTTGAAAAATTATGCATCCTATTTACGGAGCTGAATATGAGAACTGAAAGCGCAGCAGACAGACCAGGCCCCCAAGAAGAAAAAGAAGAAGAAATCTAAAAAGCAGGATGATTAGATTTTTAACTATCGTTTTTGATCGTTTTTTGATCATTTTTGGATCGTTTTTGGATTGTTTTTCCATTTTTTATTTCTTTATTTTTAAGATACTGTAAAGCTTAATAAAAGCAAACTTTACCTTAATACAGTTTTGAAATCTTTGAATATTTATTGAATTTTTTAAATGCTATCTCATTCAAAAGTTGAAAGTTGACATTTAAATATTTAGAAATGACAAGTCTTTAGATTTATAACGAATAACTGTACTAAAGGGAGTAGGTAAAGAAGAGCTGGAGAACCAACTCTCCGACATGTTTGACGTGAAGAAGGCGGCCAAGTGGGCCGACGAGGTAGACCTTAAACTTACATTTCATTTTGATGATTACTTGACTAGTGGCTGGTTCTGATTAAATTCGGTCATTTCTTTAGTTATGGTAAATGTTAGTAGGTCTTTTATTTGGTTTGGTTTGGTTTAATTTGGTCTGGTCTGGTTTGGTTTGGTTTGGTTTTTCTTCTTGCGACTTCTGAATGAGTAAATAAATAGTTAAATTATTAAAGAGATATTTTTATCTTGAAAACTTTGTTCTACATAATGCATTATTTTCAAAGGTTTGGAGTTTTATGGAGGAGTATAGTCTGATCAAAGAGGAATCTGGGGAGGGAACAATCCTCAGTAAACGGTCTAGAGAAAGAACACAGGTGAAAATAAAAAACATACAGTGTGACCAGTAAAATTATGGAATGGAAAGACTGTAACTGTTATTTACGAGATCAATTAGTTCAATAAAGAAGTTAATTTTCAAACTACATACTGGTAGAATTATTTGCTTTATAATAACATCAAAAACACAAGATTGTTAAAATGTCGTCTTCCTAGTCCACAGCTTTATTGGGTCCCTTTTTACAACTTCTCCGTTTTGAAACGTCTTTTTTGTTAAAATACTTACGATTTTGCTGATGCGTAAAGTCATTTTGTAGAATACTCTTTTTGATTTAATATCATATCATTTCACACCTTTTGAAGAATCGTGCAAAAACTAGAAATTAAGAAAAATAAATCTGTATTTTACAACAGGAGGAAGATAAGTATAAACTGTACAGAGAGTAATAAGTGGAAGAAATATACAGAAAAGTAAGAGAACAATATTTATTTGCTGGAATATATTTTGTTTCAATTTTGGGGGTATTTTTTAAAATAATTATGAAAGTGCAGTTACAGTCGTTCTGTGGGAAGCAGAGAGACAAAAAAGTAGCTCAAGTCAAACTTTCCTTTAAAAACAAGAAGGAACCAGAACTATCATTTCCTAAATTATTGGAATTATAACGAGGCAAACTCAAAAATTTTGTAATTATATACATAATAGTTTTTTATAATAATTGCAAATTTTCTAACATTTTAATTCATTGTTTTATTATTTGAAATTGAAATTTATTTGAACAAAATTGATTGATTTTACTTTTCTTTTTCTAATATGTTGGCTCCGCATTAACTGCATTTTTGTCCTCTTTTTTAATGTTTTTTTCTTTCTCCTTCTTCTGATTTTCTTTTTCTTCTTCTTCTTCTTCTTCTTCTTCTTCTTCTTCTTCTTCTTCTTCTTCTTATTCTTTGTCTTCTTCTTCTTCTTCTTCTTATTCTTCTTCTTCTTCTTCTTCTTCTTCTTCTTCTTCTTCTTCTTCTTCTTCTTCTTCTTCTTCTTCTTCTTCTTCTTCTTCTTCTTCTTCTTCTTCTTCTTCTTCTTCTTCTTCTTCTTCTTCTTCTTCTTCTTCTTCTGTTGCTTCCTAGAATTTGTATATAAAATGTTTATTTATACTTATGTAAGACAAAACATTAGGACAAATTTCTTTTTACAAATGAGGAAAAATATATTTTAAAAAATAAAATTTACTTAAATTCACCTGTTATGCTCATCTTCTACTTTACATGAAATGTATATTTATGCTTTAATTTTTTATAACTATGCTTTTATTTAATATTATTATTTATATTTTATATTTATATTTTATACTCTAGTTTTGTTATGCAAGACAAAACTTTAAGAGAATTTTTTTACAATTGAGGAAAAATGTACTTTTATCAGTGCTAAGGATCCGGATCCGGATTCCTTGGATCCGCATGATTTTGGCTCCGGATCCGGATCAGCATAAATAAGTGGATACACTAATTCGGATACAAGAGGCAAAATATCATCAAAAAAATGCTAAAAAAGTGAACTATTGAAAAAAGAGAGATTTTAAATATTTCATGATTTCTGAATGGTTCTTCAAGGTATAGCATAAAAATAAGAGAGAAGAATAAGACAAACATTTTGAAAATTCTGCTTTGTTAAAAGAATTCAGTAAATTTTAAAGAAATAACCTAGATCCGGATCCATTTTTTCCATTTTTATCACAAACAAAATTATATTGACTTTTTTGACTTGGTGTTATTAGAGTATCTTCCATTTTTCCGCCCATGATTTCCGATGTTTTATAAGCAACTCATTTTCTGTGAAATTTCATACACTTGTTTCACACGTGACGAAGTGACATCGTGTGGTGCTTACTAGTCATGGTGTAAAAAGTGCGTAGAATTTGCTGGAGGAAAGTAACTAAATCTCTTCCCCACCATAACCCTTTATTTTACAGAATGAATTGGACGCCCCACTCCCCCACCAATTTTGAACTTTGGGGTCCCCCCCTCTAAGTCTCCATACACCCCCCTGTGTACGTCTCTGGAGTTCTAAAAATTGTCTGTATCCATGCAGCTTTAATGTATGAACACTGTACAGGGTTGCCCACAGGATGAGATTATAGAGACAACTGTACATAATTTATACTGACTGTTTTCTCTATTAACAATTATATTTACGAATTCTATTTCTATAACTTATCCACCTTTTCAAAAAATTATCTTTAAATAACAGTAAAGCAATAAACAAAACTTCGTAAATGAAGCGCTACTGGGGTATTTTTTGAGAAGGTGCGGTTGTCCCCCTATACTAAGCAACATTTAATATACGTTTTCATTTTTGAATTTATTACTTTTTAGCTGCTTTGTTGCACCAAGTAAGAAGTTGCAGCTCCGTACAGCATCCAGTTCTGCCCACCCTTTTCAGCTTTAGGAATCTAGATAATTCACTCTGCCCAGGTATACAGATTTAACTTCTATCTACCAAGGTATACTGGACTAACTTCTCTCTAACCAGGTATACAGGGTTAACTTCCCTCTAGTCAGGTATACAGGGTTAACTTTACTTCACCCATGTATACAGGGTTAACTTCACTTCACCCAGGTATACAGGGTTAACTTCACTTCACCCAGGTATACAGGGTTAACTTCTTTCTACCCAGGTATACAGGGTTAACTTCACTTCACCCAGGTATACAGGGTTAACTTCACTTCACCCAGGTAAACAGGGTTAACTTCACTTGTATACAGGGTTAACTTCACTTCACCCAGGTATACAGGGTTAGCTTCTTTCTACCCAGGTAAACAGGGTTAACTTCTCTCTACTCGGTTAACAGGGTTAACTTCTCTCTACCTACAGATTGACATTATTATTCGAATATAAAATACAGGGTTAACACTTAAGGAAATAAATTTGCTTTACAACTCTTCATTTTTAAATTTCTTTTTTCCGAAGAACGAAAATTTAAACTTTTTCTGATTCTTTAACAGCTTTTTATCCATTTAAGTGTCCATATAAATTAATAACTGTTACAGAAAGAATGAAAATTTAATATTTTTTTAGAAAATTCAGATTTGATTGAAGAGTGCAGTGTAGTCACAGTTAACTTGCAAGGTAAATAAAACACACTTATCTTTTCTATATCAGCTTAATGGGACTATACTTAATTTCAGGGATTGCAAATATGGCATTGCCCGATTCACCCTTGAAACCTTTATCTGATCAATAATTTGGAATGTATTGTCGTTTTTCTAAATTTAAAATTTAATTCTTATAATTACTATAATGTTTATTCTGCAATAGAAATGCGCAATTCAATTTTGAAAAGAAATCACAATCGAAAAAATCAGTTTTCAATTTTATAAACCTTCAAATCTAATTGATAATGGACATTGTAGCTTTTCAGTTATTCTTGCAAGGAGGGTCACTTGAATTTACTTTTACAGTCCCTTTAATATATCGCAAGAAAAGTTATATTTGATAAAAAGAACCCATATTTTTGACAAGAAATAAAATAAATAACACTACTTTTTTGACAGGAATTATCTAGTATTCATGTTCAGGGCTGTTTAGTCGAAAATTGTTGATCAGAACTGCCGCCCCTCCCTCACTTTCTAACAGTGTAACTCAAGTAAGTTATATATTTGCCGCCCCTCCCTCACTTTCTAACAGTGTAATTCAAGTAAGTTATATATTTGCCGCCCCTACCTCACTTTCTAACAGTGTAATTCAAGTAAGTTATATATTTGCCCCCCCCCCTCCCTCACTTTCTAACAGTGTAACTCAAGTAAGTTATATATTTGCCGCCCCTCCCTCACTTTCTAACAGTGTAACTCAAGGAAGTTATATATTTGCCGCCCCTCTCACGCTTTCTAACAGTGTAACCCAAGTAAGTTCAAGAATTGCCACCCCTCCCTCACTTAAAAAAAATATGCTGCAAAAATTAGAAGTTATTCATTATTCGGCTGTTATTACAGAAATAATAGTTATTTTTGTTTTTCTGTTGTTTTTCATTTCTCTACTTGTTTAGATCATTTAAAATGTATTTTTTGTTTGTCTAATGATTCATTTATAAATTCATCACAATCTATAAAGAGGAAAAGGTTATAATTTATGAAAAATTTCTGTTATGCCGTTGTGAACTCGTAACTCCGATCTAGTTACTTTTAGAAGAATAAAAAAATTATTTGGTTGCTTATTAAAAATACAATTTACATTTACATATACATAAAAGGAAGAGCCTTTATACAAACAAAATCCCTTTATCGTTAGAAACCTAATATTTCAAGCTTGAATTATTTAATAATTAATATTAATTTTAATATTCTTTGCTGAATTAATATTTTTAAAAATGTAAGTCCTGCAACATTGGGTTGCAAACATATAGCTGAGTTAGAAAATCAGGGTTTGTGGCAAAGACTCAATTTCTTTACTTTAATTTGACGTATATTTGTTTATTTTATAATTAAAAAGTATAATGTTTAAAGAAAATAAAACAAAATGGATTGTTATATGTTATTTCGTTTAGGATAGAAAGGAGATAGAGCTGGAGAAAAGAACAGAGGAAGGAGTTGATCATATACTTCAGGTAAATATAATTCACTGTGATTTGTGATACTTAAAAAACACATTGGACATCTGTTGAGTAAAATTTTTAAAAAAGGATTGTTTTTAGAATTTTTAATTAAACTTATATATGGACATACTTCTTTTGAGTTTTAAGCAATCATTGTTTAGGAACCATTTCAAGCAGATTAACATATAGAATTTGTATCTAATAATTATGTAAATATGATTTTTGGAGGGATTTTTACATTTTTTCTTTTATAAGGATGGTTCCGTGAGTACACTTACTTACTCTTCCAGTTATGGTCCTGTGGAAATTATTGTCAAGAATAAACAGGTTAGAATGGAGTAGGGCACAGCACATGGATCCATGGAATTGATCAATGGATTGCACTCATCAAGGGATGATCAAAATCTTAAAAAAATGTGTGAACATTTCTGTTCATCTTATTTTATTCCTGAAATTAAATTGATTAAATTTTCAATCGGAATTGCACGGAAATTTGCGGAATTGTGCGGAATTGTGCGGAATTGTGCTGAATTCTGCGGAATTATGCAAAACTGTGTGGAACTACATGTAATTGCGCGGAATAGTGCGAAATTGTACGGATTTGTGCCGAATTGCACGGAATTGTGGGAAACTGCCTGGCATTGCGTTGAATTGTGCGGAATATAAGGGCTCGCGAGCAAGCAAAATCCGCTTGCTTTGGAATCCCCAACTGCAAGGTTCCATGGGGAAACTTTTTTATTGTTTATTTTATTAGTTTCTGTAAAGTATGTTGCCTACTTGATTTCTAATTTACAATGAATTCTCTTCTAGTAAGCAGACAATCAAATGAAGTAGGGGAAATATATTCTATTAAAAAATATATATCTATAATAAATTTGGCTTGTCTGTTTGTTTGTTTGTATCCAATAAACGTCAAAAACGGCTGAACCGATCGGGCCCAATTTTTTTGTGGGACATCTAGGGACCCCAGGGAAGGTTTATGAATGATCAAAATTTCAAATATTTATCTTCATCAAAATTCGATCTTCATTAAATTTTTGAAAATTTTGAAAATCCACGAAATTTTTTGTGAAAATCCGCAAATTATTTTTGTTTTGTTTTACGATGTTCACAAAGAGAACATGTTCACAATTAATTTAGAAGATGGGCGCGAAGCGCCCTCTAAGGCTAGTATTCAAAAATTATTTTTGAGAAGACGATTTTTTTTTCCATACAGGGTTTTATTTTAAGGGGAAACAACTCTTCTCTTTAACACTGCACTCTCCGTTCAACTACAGTTCAGTAGTCACTCCCTTTAAGTCTTATACAAAACCAGAATAGAATTCTAAAAATGTGAAACATTTCTTTTGTAAAACACGTCAAAAGATGAAAAGTTAGAGTTTGTAAAGATCTCCCAGAAAAAATATAAATTCCTAAAACATTAAAAAGTAAAAAAATGAATAGAAATTTTCCATGAATATACCGTAGATTCAACCATATAAAATCATGCCATACTGGGTGAGTCAGATTTTTATAATATTCTCAAAAAATACTTTTCAATTTGGGCAAAAAATATACCGCAAGGTGTTTATTAAAATCTTTGTATGATATTAATTAAATTTGATATGATCTCTTTTCCATAAATAAAAAAATAGCAAATCTAAGAGTTGATTCTCTATTTGTCATCGCACAAAGCGATTATTTAGACTAGAAGTAAAACATATTGCTGATACGATTTTTGCGAGCTTCTAAATCTTCTAGTTTTAATTCACCAATTACCATCTTTATAAGAAATCGATTACAATAGCTTTTCAGACAAATAAGTTAGGTTAAAGGGAGTGTTCGCGAAAAATGAAAGGGGGGCTTACGTCGAAAAATATTCGATGGTAATTGTTACTAATCTTACAATTCTATCTGTTGTGCATTCATATATACTTCATAATATTTTTTATTTGTTTTATATACAATGCACTATAAACGACGATTTTGTGTCCGCTAGGTGTCTCTGCCACGTGGAGTCATGCAGAAACATTAAAAGCTGAGACACCTGGTGGCCAACTAATCGTCGTTAAAATTGCATCATTTATAAATACAAAATATTATGAGGTATCAACTATATACTAATGCGTCGAAAAATAATCAATGATTATTGGTTGTAATATCTGAATGATTTTTTTGGAATTAAATTGATTTTCTTTACAATCCGAATAAAATATTGAAACTTTCTGAATTTGCATTGACGATACACTCTACGGTATGAGTCGTTTTTATCAATTTTCTCTTTATAGATGCAACAGATAGAAGTAAGATAAGTAGCAATCACCATCGAAAATTTTTCGACGTAAGCTTATACCCCCGTTTCATTTTCGCGAACACTCCCTTTAAGAAGCATGAAGGATTTCTTTCTAAAGTTAAACTTTGGTTACAATATATTACAATATATTGTACCTTAAAGGGACTTTAGACGTTACTTCAAGAGACCCTTAATTTTAAAGAGCTGAAATGTCTAATTGAATGTCTAGTGAAGTGGTAAATATTGATGCAATTTCTTTTTCATTGTTACTCAGATATAGTGGACAAATTACCTCCACAATCCCTTTAAAGATATTTGTTTAGATATTTGGATCTGTTTTCTGGGAGGGGGAGAGATACTCGATTCAGCCCTGTCAAAGAACAAGAATACAGAAAACTGGTAAATATGATGTAAATAATAATAATAATAATAATAATACTAATAATAATAATAATAATAATTATATTAATATTAATGATAATAATAATAATAATCATAATCATATTTTCTAGTTCTGGACCCTGGGTGTCATGTTTGGTTGAAAAAGAAGAAAAAAGTCAAAATTCCCAAAACTAATTAAAACGAAATACCAAAAACTATCTGTTGTAAAACCATGCATTAAGAGACTGTGGTTGTCATTTCAAGGAACCCTTCATTCAAAGAACCCTTCATGGCCCATGCATGATTCACAATGGTACCCTTGAAACCTTAATCTAGACAAAAATGTGGGATCTTAAATTAAAAGAAATAGTTGTTTGAATACAAAACATGGATATATAATTCTAACTTAATCAGTAGCTAATAAGTGTATCGTTGGCCATGCCTCTCTATAAATGGAGGCTCACTTGAAATTATGAAGTTTTTTTACAGCTTGAGAATGTATTTTTACGTGATTAGTAATCTTTAAAAATAAACTTTCATTATTCATGAACCATGTCTCTTGAGTTTTGATATGAAATTTTAAGGCAATAAATAAAGAAACAAACTCTGATGTTCTAATCACTTTATCTTTTCAATCCAAAGTCATTGACCATAGATGTTTCAAACTAGGAATTCTGTTTAAGATATTGGCATTTTCCCATTGGCATCTTCACAAGTGTCAATTTCCCATGAGGCAACTTAGGTTAGGCCCTCAGAGGTGCCACAGGCTCTGCAATGGGGGCAGAGTATTGTGGCTAGGATTAGGATGGGGCCGAGTGCTGCGCCCAGAACAGGATAGGGATCGAGCGTTGTGGCAAGAACATACTAGGGGGGCCGAGCGCTGTGACTAGAACGGACTTGGGAAGTTGCCACTTGGGTAAATGCCTTTGGGAAAGTACCTAACATTATGGTTCACGATGTTTCTAAATCTGAAAAAATCATGTAGTACGATATTTTGCCGACATCAATAACTATTTTGTATATTCTATTTATTTCAACATTAAAAAGTCTCTCTGCAGTGCAAAAAAAACTAGCGCTGAAGAATGTTTAAAGAAGGTTTTGTTTTACATGTTTATGAATACAATCTTCCTTCAGTTGGAAAAACTGTACTTTGTGTAATTAAAAGCAGTATTTTATCGTGCTTGAATTGTTGGATGAATATTGAACATAACTTATTTTTAGACAAAAATTCATTATTCGGTTACCAACAGAGCCATTTACATAAAAAAACTCAAGTTATAAATACAAAATTATAAAAAAGTTAGTTTAAGCTATTAATCAAACAAACCCAATAATAGAAAGCTATAATTATCATTACTTTGAACTTATAGACAGGCTCAATCTAATAATAGAAAGCTATAAATATCAGTACTTTAAACTTAAAAAACAGGCTCAAAGTACATTTTTTACTGTGCGTTAACATAAATGTCTTATATTTGGGATTTTCTTAATCAAAAGAAAGAAGAATGGGGTTTTCTTTTTTTCCTATTGCTACTAAAATTAAGATTTCAAGGCCGGGTACTGTTGAGAAACTACCCTGACAGTTCATTTAATCAATAAAAGAATTCCTTTAATTAGATAGAATACTTTACCAGATTTTTTTCAATAATACTGAAAACTTTTTACTTGAACGTTTTGTTCCTGATATCAAAAAGCATTGTTCTGATATCCTGCTTTCTACATACAAGAGCCTTGGACTGTTTTTTTAAAACAATATATAGATTTCATATCACAATGTTAGAAATAAAAATATTTATGTAGTTGATAAAACAAGTCAATGTTATTGATAAAAGGAAACAAATCTGCTTTCTTTTGGCACCCTCAAATAATTTTAATTTGATGAATTAATTACAATATAATACATTAAGTAACTAAGAATGGATTGTTTTCACTTTTTAAAAAAAACGATCGTTAAAATAATCTTCAATACGAAAAAGTATTCTAATTATTCTATTAGTTCTGAAATGGTTTCTTAAATATGACTATAAAAATTATAGATTTTAATGTCGTAAAAAAATCCGCAAATAGTTCGCGCCCCTCTTCTAGTAAACATGTTAAAATGTTTTTTCTCATTTTTTCCTCGAAATTGTAAAATTACAAATTTCGCTGTTATTTCTGTTTAAATTGGCGCATTTTCAAATTCATAATGAAGTATTGATCTCTTAGTACATGTCTTATTTCTGTCAATTTTTGCATTAACAAGATATTTGAAGTCTCATTTTTTGTGAAACCCCCTGCACACTGTACATTTAGTACAGTAAAAATAAAGTTGAATTCAAACTTTTAATTAAAAAGAAAGTTTAATAAACAGAAATAATACAAAAATAGATTTTTTTCTCCTGTTAAATAGATTCAAATTTTTAAGAAGCGTTGTATTATTTTGACGACTCAAAAGAAATCAAAATCCTTTGATCTCAAAAGTCTGGTAAGGATGAAAGTACGGCTGAACTTTCCAAAATGACACAATAACGGGATTTTTTCTAAACATTGAACAAAAAAGATAATTTCATCCAGAAAATCTTAAAAACTCGGTAAGATTTAATGAATTCAATAATTTCTGACCCCTTGGGTATGTTTTATTATTATAAAAGACTTTATTCTTAACTAGCTGAAGTTCCCGGCGTTGCCCATGAAATTTTAAAGATTACATTTTTTCATTTGAATTAAAAAAAATTTGCCTGTTACCCTCAGCTCAAGGTACCCACGGGTTCCCTTCAAAAAGTTTTTCTTCAAAGGTCTACCCTCTCAACATCAAACTTTCACACCATGGTTCATTCCCGTAGTTCAACCGAGTTCCCAATCAAAATTTGAGGTATATCGGTCAAGGGGTTCCTGAGTTATGATCAGACATAGAAACAAACAAACAGAGATTACTATTTATTTTATTCTTAATAACAAAATATAAAGTTGAATAACAAAAAAATTAATACATTTATCATGTATTTTTTTGGCATTTAATAAATAAATAAATAAACAAATAGATAAATAAATAAATAAATACATAAATAGATAAATAAATAAAATTCTAAATATATAAAAAGTGAAGAAATTTTAAAATCAAAATAAAAGCATTTTTCAACAACATTTTTTTGTGA